TAATATTAGTTCTAAGCTGAAGAACGAAGACAACCGACGAGGGAAATTAGTTTTTTATAGGTTTAGGCTCAAGAAAGAAGTCATCCGCCGAGGGATTTTAGTACCGTTAGTATTAGATAGTTAATATTTAAGTTATTTATAAGGTTTATTGTGAAAGGTGGGAAGATGTAGAACTTGTGATTCCATCTACCTGCCTTGGGCCTCCACCACAGCAATCTCCTCGTGGTGAGGCCTGGTCAATCGGTATTATCATCGGTAAAGTACTTTAAACTGATGACAATATCGAGCTAATGGCTGCGAACTTCGAATCTATCTCATAAAACCACGTTCTATATTATATCGAACTAGAATTATTTTAGAAATCGATATAAGATTCAAAGTGTAAAAGTGTCTAGTACTTTGAATGTTTTAGAAAAGTATTCGAGATAAAGATGTATGGAACGACTGGAAATTACTTTAGATTCCTTTTCCTTATTCTGTAAATTCTTTGATTGGAATATGAATGTTGCTGGAAGTATGAACATTTTCACAGGACAATGATATAAATGGAACTTTAAAACTTTTTTAAGTGTTACAGTGATATTTCGTTATATGTTCCATAATGTCGTTAATATTGATTTCCTTCCAACATCCATCATTATTACAAATGTCAATATAACGAAATATCTTTTATGCGATGTCTGTGGTGTAATAAAAATCTGTGTTTCGATTACGTTTTTGATACGTATTACTCACTTATATGTAATAATATAGAATAAAAATATACTATTAGTCCGATATTTGAAAATATGCATGCGTTCGTTGTCACTGTTAAACTGTTGTAATAACAATGGAATAATAAAATAATTTACTCAAATGTACATAATAATACATATACATATCCATAAAAACAATATTAAACGCAATAACTTTTTTGTACGCGAAGAAAAACTAATATAGGTCCGTCGGGATTAGAACCCAAGACTCCTTTCTAATACGTCTACTTTATAGCGAACGGACGGAAGAGAATCCGTTCACGACCATGGTCCCTTCTTATATTTAACGTAGTCCACAAATTCACCGTTCTCATAACGTAGAGGGCAGCAGAAAATCCCTGACTTTTTACACTATCGGTATTTCAGAACATGAGACATGAAGTCCCATAAGATGATAGGTCTATCCTATACCTAGTCGGTGATGTTACCGTCCCAGGTGCTTTTTTTTTACGGGGGAAAACCTTGAAAATATGAACCGCCTCCGCTGGGGCGGAGATGGCCAATGCGGGATTTCACCACGCTAAAAATCCTCCGGTGACCCTCGGGCAGAGCCCATTGCCCTCCCCTACAGGTGTTTAAGGGGAGGGCTCTTCTCTGGGGGGAGGTAGTTGCTCCCCCCCCCCGGCCCGGGATGGCTGCTTGTGCCGTCCCTGCACCTCCTACCTACAGCCCTACAGCACGATGGGTTACCTCTCGACGCTGTCCTCTGAGAGGACTCCTCTCGTGGGCCGACCACGAAAGGAGGTGATACTCACAGTACCACCCCCTCGGCCCGGTTGCGCCGCGGGCGACGCGAGGGTCATCGACACTGGCTCGATAATATTTTGCAAACAACAAATTTTTGCTTTTTCTTTTGCGAACATCTCATTAACTATAAATGGTGCTGTAGGAGCAATTTCAGATTCGGAAGGAACAAATTGGGAGCAATTTTTTGAGATATAAATCGTTACGATACGTTAATATCCGACACCAACTATTTTCCGGTGGCGATGTCTCCCCAGAAAAGTGGGCCGAGAAAGTACATTGGATGAAATGCCTACTCCTATACCTCGTCTGTCGGTGTAGTCACTTAAAACGTACATATCGTATATATATTTTTCATTGTAGTATCAAGAACAGAAGAAAAATTTGACTTCATAGGAAGAACTTTAGGGTAATCATATAATTTGGTCAATTTTTTTATTAAAAGCTAGGACTGTTAAAAAATGTGAAATTAGTAATATTTAATAGATATTATGACACTTAATATTTTCTTCGTTTTATTATATCTGGTCTCCAATTAACAGGATGGGTTTCTTCCGTCTGAAAATATAGATAAAAAGATAATTACGTTTGTGGCTGTGATGATTGTACAATTAGTTTATAATAAATAAATTATTCTTACAGCAGCGTCATCTTCTTTGTAAACTTTAATTGTCTTGTCTGCTTCCGTTGTAATCATACGAGTACCGGACATGTCAAATGTTATACTAAATACTCCAGCTTCGCTGTCCATTGAACCAGGTTGAACTGGAGCTTGTAAACGTTGAAAATTATACCTTAACATATGTGGAATTGTTATAAGTAATACCGAAACTGAATGAAACAATATAGTGGTTGTATAAAGTTTACCCTGTCCTCCAATCCCAAAGGTGCATTGTTCCATTATCCGCTCCAGAAACTAAAACACCATCTGCATTTACAGCCAAACAATTAACTATGGCATTGTGACCAGATAAATTTTGTATAAACTTTCCTTCTGGACATTTCCACTGTTTAATATTATCTGGGGATGCTGAGGCGAACATGTATCTAATAACGAGTATGGATTAAATAAATAAATAAATATAACAATAGCCAAGAATTTAAAGAAAAACATACATACAATGATGGATGGAAGGTTACAGCCCTTACACTTTTCTTGTGATTTGTTAATGTAGCTCTAGATTTTCCAGCCGCTAAATCCCACAACCGTATAGTACAATCATGACTCCCAGTAACGATCTAGTTTAAAAAGAAAAATGTAGTTGAATGTTTAGTTAAGTTGATAATTCTGGATAAAGAATACCTGTGGTTCAGTAGTTTGACAAATAACACTAGCAACTGTATTAGTGTGACCAACAAGTGTGTGTACATTAGCTTTTGTACGCATATCCCATACTCTTGCAGTAGAATCTCGACCTGCAGTTACTAATACATCTATACTAGGATGTAATGCCATGGAGTACACTGCTGATAAATGTCCATGATAATGCCTTATAACCTATGAATGAAACGTTATTGTAACTACAGTAAGAAATTGCCATGTACTTCAAAAATAAGTTTAATAACCTTATTATACTCAAGGTCCCAACACTTCACTTGTCGATCTTCTCCACAAGAAAATAAATATGGGTGCCGTTGAGAAAATGCTAATCCACGAACACAACTTATATGACCAGTCAAAGAAACTTTTAGTTTACCACTCGCAAGATCCCAAATCTAAAATATATAAAACCAACAAATGATCTAAAGAAAATACATTATCATATTACGTAAGTATAAACTGTTTAGAAGGTACAAGGCAAGAGGATGAGGGAGGTGGTAGATAGGTAGATGCAAGAGGGCTAATACAAGACAAAAATTGAATAAAACATATTCAAGAAGATCATTTATAATAAGTACATATAAATTACATTGTTACTATAAATACACATGAATTATAATAAAAAGTCTATAAATGTTGGGGAGAAAGTATTAAAAAAAGGAACTAAAAAGGAGAAAAGAAGGAGGAAAAAAGTAGGAAAGATGAATAACATAACAGTAGTATTGAAATAGAGAGAAGGGTATTATTTACAGAAATAGATACAAAAGGGTGTAGGTACAGCTAGGCAAAGAAACAGAACGAAATAGTGGTTGAGGGAGGATATTAAGAAACATTAACTATATAGGAAGAAAGAGGAAACTTTAGAATATTCAAATATTTTAACTAACATATTTTTTTAATACGGAATATGAGTAGAAAGTTGAATAATTTAATGCTTGAAATACAATTTGATATATACAAGTATTTTACAAATAAGGTTTTAATTCTTGGCTGAAGGTTAAAATAGACAAATAAAAATAAGTATATCAAATAAAACTGCAAACTTACTTTAATAACTCTATGTGCTGAACCAGTAGCAAACCATTCATTTCCTGGTTCAACAGCACAGCACCGAACCCAACCGAGATGACCACTAATAACTCTATACAATTTCCATGGTGCATGCCATTTTGGTTTTGCCATGGATGGTGTCTTCTTCTGCGGTATCATTATAATATTATTAACTGCATTTCCTCCAGCATTTAAATGAGTCACAACTCCATTGCTGTTATGTACAGGATTATAAGGTACTATTGATGTGCTGTTAGTTCCACCAAAAGATTCGTCTAGAAATTACATCTTTATTATTAATAATAATTAATTTTTAATAGATGTATATGTAAGCCAAATAAATACCGCCAGGTGGAGGAGGATCTGCATTATCTGGTTCATTTTGTGTTTTCGCCAAATTGCTGGTTTTAACTCGCTCTAATACAGGTCCATAACAGTCATTTGCTTTTACAGCTTTTTTCATCTTTAACCTATGTAAAATTAATGTATCATTTGGTTAATGTTTCATTTTTTTTGTTTATAACTAATGTACTTACACATTAGGATCCATTGGTGGTAATGTTCCTTGATTTAACAAGAACATATCATGAGTTCTCTTTAAAGACCTAAACACAAGTGTATGTACAGAATGTCTTTGTACATCCTATAAAAGAATACAGTTGTCTCAGTATTTTCTTTACTTTCTGACAAAAGATCGTATTAACATTATTCATACAAATATCATTTACAACCATAATAAACTTTTTAATACAAAAAAATTAACAATTTTTGTAAGAGTATTATTCTTACCATTTCTGTAAAATCAAGACTTCTATTTGTTCAAATATAAGTTAAAATAATGACTGCTAAAACATTCACTTATAATTATTTTATATAACGTGAGTGCAGAAACTTATAATATTCGCATAAATGTTTAACTCCATTCTAAGATTTTGTTCAGTTCATTGAAATTTCATCTACAAAATATTAAAAAATATTAATAGACTGTTTAATGTTTGGAACAAGACATTCATTGACAAACTTAATGCAACACACAAAACAGAGAGGTTATGTTTACGTCAGGTTTTAAGACATGGTCCATGGACATATATAGGAATATAGGGACCCTAGGATAATAGGGTTCGAGCTCAGTTCGAACTTCGAAGACGAAGCATACCGTTGCGCGGTGGGCTTTCTGGGAGGGGTGATAAGGTAAAAGTGTGCCTAATTTCTATTGGCTGATGCTTTGCACATGCGCAGTAATGCGACGAGCAGAGGTGGGTAAATACGTGAATTTTTTATTTTATACGTGACACGTGCTTAAGGGGGGAGACTCCGTGGCCAAAACCGACTCTACACTTTATATGACAAACGAAAGATGATAAAAAGTTCAATTTGTTATGTTTTTCTTATTTACTATTATACGAGGTTTCCTGGGATACATGCCAACTTGCTTGTTCGGAGCGTCATAGTACAAGCGTAGTGCGTAGCCACCGCTAGCGCGGGAACTCGGCTGGCAAAGTCGCGCTCTGATTGGTCGGGGTTTTTCGTTAATATCTCGTTAATAAAGCCTCAGATAACATTTTTGCTAAGGAAAAAGTAGTTTTAAATCATCCCAGGAACCCTTCATTTCCCGGAAAAGAGACATTTTTGAGACATCCTGTCTGTCTATGGCTGCCCCATTTTGCTCATTCACGCGCATGCGCCATTATGGGGTCTAGTGATAACGCAATAGATATTCATTAAAAATTTTAATTAAAAGACAATTGCTTGTGAACAAGTAATAAAAATGAGTGAACAAAGATATACAAACGACGAACAATCAATTCTATATAAAATTAGTGGTGAATAATCTAAAAAAACATAAATTAGAGGATGGGTGAAAAAAAGATTTCAGTTAAATTTGTTTAATTTATTATAAATCGTCAATTGATGAACACATAATATAAACTAATGAATAATGATGTACAAACGATGCACAATCGATTGCATAAAAGAGAAACTGATATAGGTATACTCCAATGAGGGGCTAATTTATCTGAGATGAGTTTACTCGCGAGTATAAATCATGTAGTTCTTGAAACTGACACTGAAGGGAGTCAAATTTGTCCATAAAATTTGCGGTCATTTTTTGTCAGTGGAATTGATCATATGATTTATTACTTGCTATGTTTAAATTTATATGTGATATTCAGGATGTGTATAATTTTTCTATTATTCCTTGAGCCAGTATAAAATATAAAATTGCCGGGTGTGTTGGTATAAGATTAAAATTTCTTCGAAATCAAGTAAAATCAATATTTTTTTTACATATATCTGATTCGTTTATTTTATACGAAATCATAATTTTCAAATATGTCTAATGATTTATTTACGAATTTATTCTTCTATTCTGAATGTGTAGTGTATTAACACAAAGGTTATTTTAGGTTATTTAGGTTAATAATTTTCATACAGTGGTCACCAATTTGAGCTCTACTCATTTACATAATTAAATATTTTTATATATATATATATATACATAACATTGTAAATAGATTTACAAACGCATATGACGTAAGTATTTGTAATGGAAATATTTACTATGAAGTGTTACGATTCATTAAATTTCTCTTTTTGATAAAGCTTTAATGTTTTTACAGATTTACATGGAACATGAAAAGTTATATGTGATTCAAAATATTAATTTTGGATGGCCATATTAGTAAAAAGCTTTTGTGTCCTGTGTTACAAGCAATTATTTTTTTGTAATAATCATGTTGCTGTTTAATCTTTTAAAAAGATTGTTTGGATGGACAGATGAAGCACCCAGAAAACGTAGAGCTGTGTCATTTAGTTTAGAAAAAGAATTTGTAACTCCAAAAAAACATTGTTGTGATTACAATACTGTCAATGTGGATGAAGAAATAATTGAAATCAATGAGGACAGTGACAGTGAGAATGTTCAAATAATAAAAAAACATAAACATTCACCCATTAAATCGTCAAGTAGATTGAATGGTACACGTAGTAGTAGGGATAAGTCATTTACATGTTGTTCACCATCTTTTTCATCATCTAAATCTCAACAGTGTTATGATGATTTAAAGATGGGCTACTTTAGCAGTGAAAATGAAAGGGTTCAAAATATTGGAGCTCATGAACGGTGCCCTACTTTAAGCAAAACTCATCGTTTGAAAGAAAAAAATCAGTATCAGGAAATGTTACAAAACTTTCTTCCACGTAGGATACATGTTATTTGTGATAAACATGAAGAAAAAGGATCAGTTCCAGAAGTGCAAGAAGTAATAGGTTTAGAAAAGTCTGAGTCTTCAACTTCTTCCTCTAAACTTCAACAAGTTTCCAGAAAAAAGAGTATGTCGCAAATGCATTGGAATATGCCGAATAAGGAAAGAAGAAATAAAGAAACAGTAGTTATTACTTTAGATAATGATAAAAACAATGAGACAGTACATTCCGTTTGCAATATAGCACAATTCACTAAAAGAAACAGTTTAGAAAAATCAACTCCGGACAAACATATTGAATGTGTAGCTACAAACACATTACGAGATCAATTGGCAGCCAAAGCTGTAATCAGGGAGGATTTTGTTCCTCGGGTAGCAAAAAGGTATAATGAACGTATAGAACAGCGTTACAAGGAAGCTGAGGAACTTAAGAAGATGACATGCATGTTATCTAAACATAATCGTTTAGCCCGAGAAGCTGCTTTGGAAGAGCATTTAGCTCGTTCTATGAGGTTGTGTGAGGCTGTTCTGGATGAAAGAGAAGAACAAGAGGAGCCTTCATTGCCTATGTTAACAGAAGAAATGTTACAAGAAATAAAGAATGCTCTTATTCCTCGCCCACAAGACGAAGTTCTTGTCGAAGGCTTTGGTCTAAGAATCACAAGAAAAGATGTTCATACACTGGCTGATCTAAATTGGTTAAACGACGAAGTAATTAATTTTTATATGAACTTATTAATAGCCAGGAGTACTCATAATAGATATCCAAAAGTACATGCTATGAATACATTTTTCTATCCAAAATTAATCACAGGTGGACATACATCCCTAAAGCGATGGACAAGAAAAATTGATATTTTTGCACAAGATCTCTTAGTTGTTCCTATACATTTAGGTATTCATTGGTGTATGTCAATAATTGATTTCAGGAATAAGTCTATTTGTTATTACGATAGTATGGGTGGCAATAATCCAAAATGTTTATCGGCCTTACGACAATATTTGGAAGATGAAAGCTTGGACAAGAAGAAGCAAACATATGATACTAGTAATTGGAAGTTAGAGTGTGCCAAAAATATTCCACAACAAATGAATGGAAGCGACTGTGGTGTCTTTTCTTGTATGTTTGCTGAATATATTTGTGCAAATAAGAAAATCACATTTACACAACAGGACATGCCATATTTTCGAAATAAGATGGTCTACGAAATATTGAAATCCAAGCTTTTATAAAAGAAGTATTTATTTGAATAATTCACCATAAACGACTTAAATAGGTTTTTGTAACTTCCATTAATCACCGAATATTTTAGTATAAAAGAGTTTACTACTGTGTAGAAAGTTGTAATCATTAATATTAAAAAGTACTATTACTTGTGTCACTACTGTATCATTAAAGAGTTACATTGTACAATTTCTTTTCTGCCATAAGAAATATATTTTTGTTTAACATGGAATGTTAATTTTTTCAATACAGCAAAATGACTACTTTGTATGTACAAGTTGGTAAAAGAACAATGTAATAAATAATTTTTTTGCAATAATAATATTTTAATCTTTTAGTAAGAAAATTTATGAACACCAAATATAGTATTTAGATATTCTTTATGAGAAATAAGTAAATTATATGTATTATAATGTTTCACTCCAAATATATGTAAATTTCTATACATACTTTTAAGATACATAAATAAATTTATATGGTTCATTAGTTAAATTATATGTACTGTCGAACAAAGTAAAAGTTCTTCTGATCTGCAACATTCATTAGGTGATCCTTGTAGTCTCTCGTCCCAAATATGAATCCCAAAATGCTCGGTTAAAAAAAAGATGGTTTTTGTAAAAACGCATGAATTTAAACAATAATGACGTATTAGTAATGTGAAAACTAAAATCAATAGAAAATTGAATTTAGTCTTCAAAAATAGAGGAACATTTCCTGAATATATCAGTATATACAGTTATTAAATATTGCGGTTTTGAATAGTTATAAATGGCCGTTAGATATTTAAAAAAAACCGATATGCGTAGGTACTTTCTACAACTATTTTCGCATTTTTACGATGTTTTTCATTTAGTATGAATTTACTACACAGCATCGGATTCTGTAGACATTTCTGGAAAAGAAATCAGGCAGAATGTTGTCCGAGACTTCATTAACGAGATATTAACGAGAAACCCCAATCAGACCGCGATTTTGCCGGCCGAGCGTAAGCTTGTAAGCTTTTCCGCGGTAGTGTTGACCATGATTCCATGCTGTAAGGACTCTCTAGTACGGATATAAATGTCATAGACATATACATATAATAGACTGCACAGTCTTATGGTAGGGATGAAGTCGGCACTAGAGAGAGAGAACAATAAGTGGAGTAACTTTTCTCTCTTTCTAAATCAGCTGTGGCGGAGTATTCTCCTACGTGCTCCTACGTCTGTGAGTATGTAATTAAACTTTTATTTCACACATTTCTTATGGGAAATGAGAAAATTTTTATTCTTTGGTATAATGCATTCACTTAGTATCCCACATAAATTGTATACAATCCTTTCTTTTACCTTTTCTAAATTTCCGTAACTTCACAATAAGATTTTTCATTGATCTTTTCAATACCACCGACGAGGTATAGGATAGACCTATCATCTTATGGGACTTCGTGTCTCATGTTCTGAAATACCGATAGTGTAAAAAGTCAGGGATTTTCTGATGGCCTCTACGTTATGAGAACGGTGAATTTGTGAACTACGTTAAATCCATTCGAGCTCAACTAGTCTAACTTCTACAGTGTTGTCGAGTCTAAAGTACAATGTTATCAGATCATGAGTGTTCGGTACGTCGGAAAATCATCGAAGGGACCATGGTCGTGAACGGATTCTCTTCCGTCCGTTCGCTGTAAAGTAGACGTATTAGAAAGGAGTCTTGGGTTCCAGTCCCGACGGACCTATTGGTTTTTTTTCGCGTACAAAAAAGTTATTGCGTTTAATATTGTTTTTATGAATATGTATATGTATTATTATGTACATTTGAGTAAATTATTTTATTATTCCATTGTTATTACAACAGTTTAACAGTGACAACGAACGCATGTATATTTTCAAATATCGGACTAACAATATATTTTTATTCTATATTATTACATATAAGTGAGTAATACGTATCAAAAACGTAATCGAAACACAGATTTTTATTACATTACAAACATCGCATAAAAGATATTTCGTTATATTGACATTTGTAATAATTATGGATGTTGCGGGGAAATCTATTGACATTATGGAACATGTAACGAAATATCACTGTAACACTTAAAAAAGTTTTAAGGTTCCATTGATATCATTGTCCTGTGAAAATGTTCATACTTCCAGCAGCATTCATATTCCAATCAAAGAATTTACAGAACAAGGAAAAGAAATCTAAAGTAATTTTCAGTAGTTCCATACATCTTTATCTCGAATAATTTTCTAAAACATTCAAAGTACTATTTTTACATTTTGAATCTCATATCGATTTCTAAAATAATCCTAGTTCAATATAATATAGAACGTGGTTTTATGAGATAGATAGTAACAGGGCTACGTAGCCCTATGAACGTGGGACAGAAAAAAGCATTGGATGATAGGTCTATTCTATACCTAGTCGGTGTACTAATAAATAAGGGATGCATTTAATACGATTTTGAACTGTCCGCTATTGGTCATATAGTAAGCCTACATCTCGCTAGATGATGCTAATGTCGTGTTAACAAAATAATATATTGAGTGGAACACCCTTACTGGTCATTCCTACTTGATCTTCCGTGGAAGTTAGGGTGGTGCAAGTTATTTGTAGAAGCTAGTATTTGACGTGTTTGACGATGGCCCCTAATTTGTCACTCATTGATAGAGGCCGTATATCCGCGTTTTTTGAATCTGGTTGGTCCGTGCAAGAGATTAGTAAACTTATACCCTGCAGTGTGAAGACAGTGCGACATTGGATTCGGAAGTGGGGTCAAGGAGGTACAATGGCATTGGAGACTCAGCGTAAGGGCTCGAAGTTGACGAGGAAAACTACCATGTCTCAAGACAACCTTCTTATCCAAGAAATGGAAGAAAATCCCTTTTCTTCTGTGGGAAGTGCCGTTGCGGCTTTAAATCTGCCAATTTCCGAGTGGACCGGTAGACGCCGCCTCCGTGAGGCCGGCTTAATATGTGATCGGTCCGCTCGGAAAATTGCATTGACTCAAAGCCATCGCGAGACTCGCGTTGGTTTTGCTCTACAAGAGTTGTCGACAACCACCGAAGAATGGAATACCACCATTTGGATGGACGAGGTGTTTTGCTCGTCAACGGACAGAAGTCCTTACGTATGGCGACCATCTAATCGACAGTTTGATTCGAGGTACGTTAATCCTTGCAAGCGAAGTGGGAACCTCACGTGTGCATTCTGGGGCTGGATTAGTGTGCATTGTCCTGGTGAACTAATCGAAATTTCATCACGTATGGAGTCGGAGGAGTATGTAGACATTTTAGAGAATACATTCCTTCCAAGTGTTCGAACTATATATTCTAAAGAAGACATGCCGACATTTCGTTTAGTTCACAATTCTGCCGTGCATAGCGCTCGCAATGTTAGACAGTGGTTTGATAACCATCCAGAGATTTGTGTCCTTGATTGGCCGGTGCGGTTTCCCGATCTCAATCCAATCGAGAATGTTTGGGCTGAGATGGCAAGGGTTTGGACTCCTGGTCGTGAGAGGACACGGAAAAATTTGGTGGAGCATGCGACGAGTACCTGGGAAGGGCTTCGGACGAAGCCAGATTATTTTGCCTCCTTCTCCAGCTTCATACCGAATCGTTTGGCGCAAGTCATCGAACGGCAGGGTTATTGGACAAAGTATTGAAGATCATCGAAGGTAAAATAAACGGCACTTTTTAGTGCCACCAAATAATATTACGTAGAACACTCAAACTTCGACACTTAAAAATAAGACAACGACGCCAGAAGTGAATCACGAACCACTTGACATCTGGATCAAAGTAGGGGGCCATGGAAAATGAAGAAAAGGAAAACCGTGGTTGAATGTGTGATCACACGTACTTATTCAAAGAAGCAATCTGCTCAAGGGAGCCATGAGCAACCATGAAGACATAATTGAATAAAAAATAATCTCTTCTCGCATGTTTCAAAACCTCCCTCCTTCATATCCCGAATTAATTCCTACACTTTTAATAAATCTATAGGCCCTTCCATTTCAAAGCGCACGGGTGTAAAATGTATAGCCACCGCTTTTTTTCAATTTACATTTGTTGATAATTACGACAAAATTATATCAAGTCATAGCTTTCTATCTCGAATGGTTTCCCAGATATTTAATCTCAACGTTTAAACAAATTGATCAAAATCATTTTATTTGTGATATTAATTATAATATATTATAGTTTTGATTATATCTCTGGCTTGGTGCAAGAAGTACCAATGTTAGTGTTTATATTAAGATATTAGCACTTAAAGATATGTTAAAAAATTTATGTTCAAATAATTTCTATCAGAGAAGTTTCAGCTGTTTCAGATTTCTTTTCTAGATAACATTTGAAATTATCGTTTTTTATATATAGAATATACAATTGTTTATACACTTAATACTGGGTTTTAACGCATTTTTCCAAAAATATGTCATTAGCACTTCTATATATACAGGGTGTCATAAAAAGGTGGGACACTCCGCACATAGATATTCCTCGTGTAAATACAAATCAAAAAGTCCTTTACCGTTGTGTAATCTGAAGCTCCATTTCCGAGATATTAGCGGGTAAACAAATTCACACACGCGAGCACAGTTAAAAGACGCACGACCGAAGTCACTAGTCTCTGCTTCTTGACTGTGCGCATACGTCTCTCACTCAGCTGATCATTAACTGCTAATATCTCTGAAATGGAGGTTCAGATTCTAAAACGATGAAGGAGTTTTCGATTTGTATGACGAATATCCATGTTGTCGATTGTCCCATATTTTTGAGATACCCTGTATATATACTCAGTGTATCAAAAATGTTGCAGGTCCTTAAAAACGATGACGCGTGGGATGATTTGAAACAAGTTTTTTTTTAGCAAAAATGTTATCCGAGGCTTTGTTAACGAGATATTAACTAAAAACCCCGACCAATCAGAGTGCGAGTTTGCCGGCCGAGTTTCCGCGGTAAGGTTGGCTATCAATCGTAGCGTTTATATATATATATATATATATATAGGTGCTCATGCTATCGTGTCCCGTGGTTGTTCGTGGTCTTCGCGCAAAGTTCACATACATATTTTCTCAATTCCTGTATATGTAATTATAAACATGACACAGTCTCAACAAGTTATTGAGGAATTGTATGATTGTTACACTAAAACTGCTGCTAATATAATTTCATATTACGGTAGATATTTGTAAGGTTTAATTAACATTATTGACTTACGATACTTCTACTAAATAAAATGTACTAATGACAAATACTAAAAAATTAAATGCAATGATAATGAAATTAAGATAACTATTTTAATATTATAGTATAGGTTATTGCAAACCTAAATAGGTCCTTCTACAAATTACTTATAGCGACATATTTATTAGTTTTTTAATATTTACAATTTAATATCATTGTCATAGGAGGAAACGAGAGGAAGGAAATATTGAAAGAACTAAGAGATATTGTGCAAAACAATTGCTTTCAAGATGATAAGCTAAAGTCTGTGGAAAACACCAAAAATCGGTTATTAAATTTGTATGAGGATGAGGGTGCAGAAACTGATATTGATTCTATTATTCAAGTAAATATATTATTATTATAGTGATGCTGTAAGGTAACAGGAATACCACACATCTTTTTTTTTGTATCTTAGGAATATAAGGATGCCATATCTGAGATTAATACTGATGTATCTAAAGACAATAAGTTGTTAGAGTTTGATAAACACGTAGAAGCTCTGTTAGGTAACTACATAATTGTATTATAAGTAAATATGATTTTCTTTATTTTATTCAATTTCTAACAGTTGCTGTACATACATATATTTATATCTTTTGTTAGATAAAGAAGGAAATGAAGAGGATGATACAGATACAGAAATACAATTAACTGGAGGCTACATAAATGTAATTGATCCAATCTCTAAAAAGAGAATTGTAGATCCTGTGAAAAACAATCTATGTGGGCATACTTATGACAATGAAAGTATTACACAATTATTGAAAATAAATAAAAAAACCAGGTAAATGTTCCATTAACAAACCTTAATTTCTTATTTGATCTATTATTTTACTTATAGTTTTATGTTTACAGGTGTCCTGTCGTAGGTTGTAAGAGTACAGAGTTTGTAAAACTGGATCACCTTCGTGCAGATATTGTAACAAAAGCATACCTTGAAAAAAATCCAGTTTAATATTTATTGAGAAGACATACTATAAAATAAACAAGCAAGATGTTCCATAAAATATATTGCAAATAGATATTACATGTGTACAAAGTGTAAAGTTTAGATATATACATCATGAAAAAAAAAATAAAGATTGCTCATGACAAGTAGTGTACCTGAATACAATGTGACTTACTATGAGATGTACCGGATGGCAAGAATATTTTTCTGATTGGCAGCACTTTTAGAAATGTTAGCCTTTTTTCTAGGCCTCTTTAAGTATCAAAAAGCAATTAAGAAATATATCTCTTAAAATGGCATAAATACATTATGATATATAGACTAGACGCTATACTTTCGTTAATGTATTTAAATATTACTTGTATTAATATTTACAATATTTATTTAATAAGTGTTCAGGTATAAAGGATACGTATTTGAAAAACAATGTAGAGAATACTTACATAAATAATAAATCATTAAAATTGAGATAACTTCAAGACGCTACGTCTTCGTTTATCTCCGTAATTTGTAGCACTATCGATCTATGATGCGAAGAGATAGGCTATGTTTATACTTACGTTTATAACAATAGTCTTAATTATCTCCTGTGGACAGGCTCGTTGCATTGCTGGTGGTCCGAACGCGAACAGTAACAATTGTGACCCATTTCTGTATGTGCCCAAAGACCTGGACGGATCACCGAATGATGACGTAACACGTTGGGTGCGCCAATTACATCTGCAACAGTGCGTTTCTATAGAAATTGGAGAAAGATTTTGTGCTGTAAGCGAGAGGCACTTGAACGCTTTTTTAAATAATAATGATTTCAGATCTGCTAGATTGATTGTATAAAAAAAAGGAAGGAAAGCATTTTCGCCATTTTGGCTCCTTTCTAAAAATAAGTAGTGTTCGGGTGATAACTTAAAAATTTCTTCAAGTTTTTAAAGAACGCAGTTGACGTGTTAGTATTGAAACAGTTTTGTAGAATGAATTCGAATTGTCCTACAATGAAATTTTATTTAACGTTTATAGTTGTTCGTCGAATTGCGTAGTATACCTTCTGGACCGGAAATCCTTGATAGTTCCAGCGTGGGCGAGTTTTTTCTCGGAAGTTGTCATTGTGTGACGCTTCATTCTTGGGATTTGTGCTCGTTTGAGCTGATGAGACACAAAAAGGTTGACTGCAATTTTGCCGAAGCTACATCTCATTCGAACACGAGTGCAAGGGTGCATAGGCGATTATGCGACGTACCTTTCTTCGGCGAAAATGTTCCTGGCTGTAATTCTTCCATTTTGCTGGCTGGTCATCGATTACATAAAATGACAGGTTGTAAAATGTTTATCTGAAGGTAATTTGATAGGGGTAATTGAACAGGGGAAGCTACGATTTGGACGAAACTTGGTGCGAAATGTAGGGAACAATGTACCTATATGTATAGATCGTAGAATACTAATTACTACATAATGCTCAACGATTTTAAACATTGGAATTTCAAAATGGTCGAATTGATTTTAGTTCGCAACTCCTTTATTAAACGGACTACGAAATGTTAAAACTTACTTTTTAATTATATTACCCTAGTGCACTATTGGTTGGCCAACAGTTAGAATTGTCACCCTTTTTTGCAACTAGGCCAACAATCATATGCAACATAGAGCTACGTCGCTATATTACGAAAGGCCAACTGGAGGTTTCTTTCTGTAGGGCCAATTCTTAAGTATCTACAATAAACAAACAATAGGAAGACAGGTGGCTATACTACACTTCCATAAAATCCTTTACAAGTATTTGAAGGAGTATGTTCCGTCGTAGACCCGAAACGACGGCTTTAGAATCTGACGTTACCGTCACTTTATATTATTTTATTTCCTTCATTCAAACAATTTCAATTTCGTTGACACAAAGAGAATAATAGACAAAAGAAACGAACATTTGGTCTGCAGTCCGCCACATGCGCTCGGTAACCTGGGACCCATCCGCGCCGGGCCTTACCGGGGCGCGCTGACTCGCAGACTATACAGTCATAAACCCTACCGTTGAGAGACTCGAAAATTCGTCGCGATCAACTCACACCGTGACCACGTGCGCGATATTTTTCTGACATCCGCTTCGCCCTGAAGGAGAGGTTTTCCACCTCCACGTCACTTGGAAAAACCGAGAAATTTGCCTTCCCCTACAGGGCATAACCAATAAGGAAGCGAGTTTTGGTAACGCCTTCAGCGAATTTGGAGGAAGCGTGACGTCACACGAAACTCGAACATTCATTCACGTACTCGTATCGACAAGAGTCACACGGACTCAATTCATTCGACAACATTCACCTCACAATTCGTCAGCTCCAACGGTCGAGCAATTATATTAGTTTTTCTCACTTAGAGAATATTGAAACAGTTGCTTAATATTAATTTGGCGGGCAACAGTCGCAATTGTACGCGTACCACGACGGTCGAGCCTGGAATTTACAACTCCAGGCGGATTTAAAAGAGAATCCACGCGGACGGACGCGACAGAGTATAACACTGGAAATAATATTTATAATAATTACTTGTTATAATAATTATATATGTGTATATTAAACAGGTAAACAAGTGTTTTACCAGAAAAGTTACCTTTACAATTTATTATGTACTATTTATACAAGATGGAGGTCCCGACCCCACATTCGGCCATCCTGTACTGACATTCGCCCTCGAATGTCTTCTGCGTACGTCTTCTTTCATCGTTTTTTTCGGGTAAGACTCTCCCACTTTTCGTTGCCTCTGTTCCACTGAGCCCTCCTATTTTCCACTGATATTATTTGCTCCTTCTTGTTGGGTATAGAGGTCCCGATCCTACATACATGTGGCTAATTATTACAAATAATTATTATAAGTTATTTTCAATCTTCTGTCCCCAGACTCTATTTTCACAAAATGTCAAATGTCAAACGTGTTGCGCGACAGTAACAAATTGTGAGTATATTCATAAATAAGAAAACAAAAAAGTTTTTGGTTGTGGCAACGTTTCTGACGTCTTTAAGACGATATTTAAATATGGAAAACTTTGGGTGGGCCAATGTTGTATTATCGCTGTAAATTTCTTGTTAATTCATCAACTATAATAATTGTAGGCCCAACATTGGATATTCGTTGGCTAGTTGTCATAAATTTTTCATCGTGGGCCCTATTTTGGGAATTTGTAGGCAAACACACTAACTATATCGCAACTAACTCCCAACTGTTGGCCACTGTTGACCAACCATAAATGCTACTAGGGTAAATGAGCATCAGTGGCTAATATTTTAGCATTTGTTTAGGTACTTCTGCTCTGACTCTTGTCTCTGTTACTCCGTGGTAACGGCGGATAGTGATGGAGGCAGGTTTTAGCTCAGGGGAACAAACTTTGCTCACTGCCGAGGTACGTCAGTTACTGCATTTTGCTTCAAATTTCGTTCAATAAAGATTCGTCTATTTAGATCATAGGCTATACTTGTATGAAAAAAGAACAGAATAGTATGAAGTATATACTGTGTTCACGCCCTAGTCACACTTTTTTGACTTCTTCATAATTCTATTCCTATTCCATTATGTATATTGTAGAGGTAGCTAACTGTTAAGCTATCTACAGACACTGCGTGGCTGGCTTGCGAGGCTGCCTCGTGGCAAACCAACGATTGTCGTTTTTAACGAGATCAAATGTGCGTCGCATTTCGTTCTTCGCTTCATTTGGACGCATATTGTTACGTGATGCTCACAAAAAACAATGGACCAGTAAAAAACGGCCGATATTCGAACGTCCCCCTGACGTATGTTAGATATTTTAGTCCGAGGCCTTTGATTTTTAAAAGAACTACGCTCCTTCGAGGTTCTGGGGTAAGTGCCGTGCGGTCAATCACAGTTCTCTTACCAACAGGCATCGCTGCCTTCCCCACTCCGTGGCCTGATCCTCTAGGAACAATGTCCTTATTCTTAAGACAACGCAATGTCGGGTTACATGCCATCCCCAACTTTCACTCATCTGTTTGACATAAACAACCCTCTACGTCCCCGATATCCAAAGGACCTAGCGCGGTCCTCCGCCACCATGCGACGCCAGGTTTGGTTAGTCTCAAGCACACTCTTCACAGACCGCACACATTCTAGAAACCCTAGTGTATAAATTCTCCAACAGTCAATGAGCGACAGGCCATCCGTCTTCGATTCTACTTAAATCTCGTTGACCTTAACACGTATAAGTTAAAACCTTGATTTTAACACATTACCGACCGGTTTTGTGTGAACTTACTATGCAATGTTGGCCGGCTCGATCGGGCACGATATATAAAACGTCTATTAATAGACTGCCGGTCGGTAGCGATGGCAGCAAAAAGCCGATTAATAGGCTGCCGGTCGGTAATGTGTTAACTGTACACATTCTACATCAGAGATGCCCAATTGGCGCTCAGGAGCGAGTATTCCCTTTCGATGGTACCCCCACTATGAGGCTCAGGCTAACACGCTCAAGCCGTGGTGGGCGGACGCGGGAAAAATGAATTCTTTCAAATGAATGCTCCAAAGATGAATACTCGCTTCTAAACGCCAGTTGGGCCTCTCTGATTCTACACCGTTATAGCAATCACGATGTTTAGAAATAAGTTCTGATTCTATACTTTTTATAGTTCATAGCAGCGACTAATATTCTCTGACAGAACTCTACTTTCTATTCAATTTCCTACAACAATGTGCGCATTCATTTCCTATCGTCTTTAGAGATTCTACCTTTTTAGTCTCGATGCCGTTGTATACAATAAGCAAATGTTGTACAATAAGCAATAACTGCTGGCTTACTCTGCCACACTTGCTTGCCTCGCGTATTCTGTTTAAGGGGACTTTCTCATTCAAAATTGAAAAAAAAGACACTTTTTTCAATATTTCTTTAGAAAAAAACTATTATATTTAGAAACATAATTCCTTTTGGACGCTATTATATATATTATTAAGAACATAAAGAAATTTTTTCTAGCAATTTTAGTTCACCACCACCGCTGTAGAGGGCGTCTTCCAAAAGGCACGTTTTAATCGGTGAGACACTTTGCAGACGTCCTGTAAAAAATTAAGTAAAAATTCAAACGGATTCGTGAGACTTAAAACTAGACAAGAAATCACTAAAATATTTTATTTTTTGTATTTTTTATCGTTTTATACATATTTTTCCAAAAAATTCGAAAAATCACTCTTTTTGGGGGCAATTCACCCCTGTATAAAAAAGGGGGGGGTAGTTTTATGAACCTTTAGAGGTTTATTGTCTAGTTTTAAGTCTCACGAATAGAATCCCATTTGAATTTTTACTTAATTTTTTATAGGACGTCTGCAAAGTGTCTCACCAATTAAAACGTGCCGTTTGGAAGACGCCCTCTACAGCGGTCGTGGTGAACTAAAAGTGCTAGAAACAAATTTCTTTATGTTCTTAATAATATATATAATAGCGTCCAAAAGGAATTATGTTTCTAAATATAATAGTCTTTTTATAAAGAAATATTAAAAAAGTGTCTTTTTTTTCAATTTTGAATGAGAAAGTCCCCTTAAGGGGGGAGACTCCTTTGGGGCCAACTCCGAATCGATCGAAGCGCCGATGTAAACAACCGGACGCCAGCGAAAACACAAAATCGATATTTCGGACGGCTTGATAATGCGACATCTAGCGGCAATACCCACAAATAAATTTTGTTCCCCGTTACCATCAAGCTGGGTTTGTGTATTTCCTACGCGAAGACAGTGTTGCCGGACAGTATCGTTTTTCTTACGCTGTTGCCTCACGTCCCGCATGCAATTCTACCCGTGAGGAGAACGATGGAATAGCTACGGCCTACGGCTCGTGGCGAGATTTCGATTCTCGCCGAACGTCCAAGGCCAGCGACCGACCCATCGGCATACAATGTAAACAGACGTAGATGAGATAAGGAATGACGCACGAATGAAAATTTAAACTTTTACAATTTGCAATATATTTTAATGAAAATGTCATGAATGAATTGAAGAAATTCTCCCGATTAAAATGCGTCCAAATTCGAGTGTAATTGGACAATTGTTACTCATACGTAATGTTGCGGATGAAAATGATATATTATTGAAAATAATCCGAATGATGTCGTATTTGGACTCATTTCCACCGACAGAATCTCCTCAGTTCATTCGTGACACTTTAATGAATGTATACTGAAAACTATAAAAGATTAAATTTGCATTCATGCGTTTCATTCCTTATCTGTTTACATTGTATTTCGATCGTCAGTCGCTGGCCTCTCGCCCGGCGCTCAACAGCCCATTTATTCCTGCTGGCCAAAGTTAGTCGAAGGAACAGTCAAGCGACAATGTTCTTTAGCTAACGATGAGCTGAGGCAGACAAAAAAGTTTAAAAAGCCGCAAATCGATGTGATTCATATTGCACTATCCAAAATTCTATGCTGCTTATTTATTCACGGTATATTACAGTCTAGTCTGTATATACGAACTAAAATATGATTTGCAATATGAAACTGCCCGCGCGAGAGCGGGTACGTCAGCTAGTTATCCATAAAATGATTTGAATGTTTATGAGAAGTTAAAGATTAGTCTAGATAATTAAGTTTTAATGATTTAATTGTAATTAGTTGTTTCACAATGTACAGGGAAATGTTTGACAAAACACGCACAAAAATAGTAACAGACACTTTTTTCAACTTTTTTATCTTAGCCTATAATGAACATTCGAAATATGCCTCTTGTAGACTTATATATCTAAGAAAAAGAAAAGTGAAGCTGCGATGTTACAGTTTCCTTATTGTCATGACTAAGTATATCATTACTATCTATGTATATATATCAATAATACTGCTTAATAACAATAGTGAAATCGAAAGCTGGTTTTATGACCATTCTAGTCGACGTTCAACGAAACAGTATTCCTGTCTCTTGGTTTTCGATCGACACCCGATGGTGACTTTCAGAGTGACCTAGGTCAGGCCACCATTATCGGGCCCAGTCATAACAAAATTCGTCGGTCAAAGCAAAGAAGCTACGAGCACCGAAGTAGTAAAAAATCTTCAGGTTTATAAGTCGAAAGTACGAGTTTTTTAGTTTTGTAACTTATTTGTAACTCTAACTTGTAAGTCTAACCACTTTTAATAGTTTGTAACTTATACCCTGGAATTTTCAGCGTGTACGTATCTTAATTAAGTGTATAAGAGGTATTTGTTAAATTTTCACTATAGGATCAGAAAAAAATTGAAAAAAGGACTTCTTAATATTTTTACTATTTTCTTCGCTATTCCAACAATTGTAATTTTTTCGAAACAACGAAAACATGTCATCTAATAAGTTAATCCTTCTAGCTTCTCAAAAAAACTCAAGTCGTTTGGTCCAATTTTTAAAACAAAATACGTACTGGAACAGATGCAGACGCAGCGAAGATGATACGCTAAGTACGCATGCGACAGCAATCAGTTGTTAGTACAAAATCTATCTCCGCTGGGCGACGAATGAAAGATTGACAGAGCGTATGCGATTAATTGTGTTCCTTTTGTGTCTCTTTTATGAAATATTTGTGTAAGTATATAACACCTGCGTCAATTATGTCAATAAAAAATAAATAAATATCATTTCCAACAAGAGATTTGTATAGTATTCCATGTTTTTCGTATGTGGAATACCCGGAATATATATTGTGCCATTTTTACAATTTGTTTCTCGAGAATATCATGTCAAGTATCTCGTATGTAATTTCATTAATTAAAAAAATAAGCATCATTGCAAGTACGAATAAGAAGGTTCATCCTTGCACACATTAGTACGTATTGTTTAATTCTCGGATTTCTTTCCCTCGCGTCGTTATTTCCTACGTTCCGCGAGAATCGAAATCTCGCCACGAGCCGTAGGCCGTAGCTGTTCCATCGTTCTCCTGACGGGCAGAATTGTCGAATGGCAACAGCGTAACAAAACAATCGATACGATCCACCACGTGTTGCGAGGTTACATTTACCGACTCCCTCTGTTTTATCGATGCTCGTGGTAACGCAGGCCAAAGTGACTGACAAATACCATAAACGCCTCTATCGGAGAATCCTTGAACTATACCACTGTTTATTTCTGTGTCTGGACGCGTCGAATCGTAAATTCCAACTTCTGCGTTCCAGAAGTGATACAGTGACAAAAATTGGATTTCTACGATAGTGTGATAGTGGTGTGTAGGGTGGTCTGGTCTGCGTTTGACGAAAAAACCATTAAATCGTGAGATATTTGACAAAATGTGACTTGTGCAGCCATCTTGTGTGTTTTCATCGGCGTCTGTCACAATCGCACACTTTCTAAAATTCTAATTCTTTCAATTAAAATGTGTTTATTGGTGTTTATACGGACCAGACCACCCTGTAGGGAAGTCTACCCGTGAGTTCTATACCCGTGAAAAGTTCATTTGTGCAATTGTTCAGACAGAAGTTGGAATTTACGAAATCGATTATCTCTCTTGCACATCGCATATACATACACGGTTCCCGTTGATTGTGTGAGTGCACGGACACAGCGCACGGGCCACGGAGTCTCCCCCCTTAAGACGCGAGGCAATTCGATCGATGCAGCTATTGGTTGCGGCATTCTTGCAAGGAAGCCTTGCAGTGTCTGTTCACAGCTTAAGGAGTACATACTTACTTTTGTTAACCCAGTATTTCAAACTTGATAATAATTGACGGTTATAGACACTTAGAGTAAATTTTCAATATCAGGACAATTATAATATTAATCAATATTGTTTTGTATTATCAGAAAAACATGATCAGTAGCCCTAGTTAGATTCTAATTACAGAAAGTCTCAATTATATTTTCCAATAAGAATTACCGTTACTGTCACTATTAAAAATTTAAGAATTATTTTTAAGTATTAAAGTATAAAGTTGAAATTTCTTAAATAATTGCATATAGTAATTTTTAGGATTTCCCACATGTATTTTAAATCCTTTACCTGACTCCATTTGTTCACCACGTGGCGTTTGCGGCATTGCACAGTGTTCTGCGACCACCATAATAGGACTACACACACCACAACATGTATCAAATTGTCATCAAACGCAGCCAGTAATGTTATTACATACTTACATATCAGGGGTGTGTGGGTACCCGACATTTCGGGATCGGGTTGGGTCGGGACAAGTCGGGCGAGAGCGGCCGGGATCCCGACAGATGTCGGGTCCCGTAACGTATTCGGGTCCCGAATGATATTTTCGAGAACTTTTCCGTCTAACGGCAAAAAATTATACTATACGATACGATGCCATATTGAATTTTCAGGTTTATGATATGAACTATAAATGCTAAATAAGTTGATGATTCGAAATGGAATCCTCCGGTTGGACAAGGTTAATAATACAATCTTCAGTACACATCTCTTTGTACGTTATGTTTTTATTAAGTAAAATAAATAAAGTGGCAGTATTAGGGACATTTAATTTATCATGCAACATACAGGCATATATAATATTATTTTAAATTATAATGTATTAAAACATAATTCCTCGACATTGTTCGGCAATAATTATATTTTTTACATTATAACCTGAAGATGTTACGGGACCCGACATCTGTCGGGATCCCGATGCGTTTATACTGTCGGGATCCTGGCCGCTCTCGCCCGACTTGTCCCGATCCGACCTGAGTCTCGGGAATCCCGTGATTTAGGGTACCCGCACACCTCTGTTAAATATATATTCATACTTGCATATACCTGTTAATAATATGTTTGAATTAGTCTGAATAATATGTCTGTCTTTATACCAATAACTTTACGAACACAAGTGAATGCTTCAATATATTCTACAGGCCTCTTGCTGCGCAAATTAAAGGCCGTGCCGCTCTACAAAACTGCGCTATGAAAGCCGTGTTGATGCGTGTAAATCTGACAACAGGTGGACACTGTCGATGCGCAGGTCGTAGCGGAGACGACTAATCGCCCCTGCGCCAACGATAGTGAGGACCCATTAACAGATATACACGCGCTGACATTGCTTTCATAGCGCGGTTCTTTAGAGCAACACGGCATTTGATTTGCGCAGCTAGAGGAGCACCCTGTATTTGTGGTCAACCTGTTGATGTGTTTTTGATGCTTTCCTGGATTTTGATGAGACCTTTTTTCAGGTACTTTGTTGTGATATGTATATACCCAAAAAAATAATAAAAATGAGCGGTCAGACTCTAGTGACTTAGAGATCTGCATCGGGCGGGTTTATCCCGTCTATTACCCGGCCGTTTCTTCATTCGCCCGGGCCGCCCGAGCCCGAACGATCCCCGCTTCGCACTTACCCGGTGATGCCGGCTACCAACCCGCCCATACCCATTTTTTTTTTTGTTTTTTTTACGCGGGGGAAATGTCTAAACGCACGCCCCGGAGTCTTGGGGTGGGACTCCGAGGTAGTGTGGGACTCTCACCCACTAAAACCCCCGCGGCAGCCTTCTCGGGCGGAACTCGGCGGTGGCGGGATCTCGTATGAACGCACTGCCACCGCCGCGCCTGTGCTCCCCTTATCGGAGAGCCCGTTCCGTGGGGGGGGTCGAACGCCCCCCAGAGGTGACCGATACCCCGGTCACCCCCCCTTCACTACTCCGCCAGCGTCAGAGGACTGCACTCCGACGCCGGCACTACCGGGCCGCTTTGGATGCAGCCGGGGACCCCACCCCGACTTCATCAGCGGCCCCGGCGGACACGCGCGCGAAGGCGGGAGCCACAGGAG